TTATTCACCATTTTCTAATTTTTCATTTAAAGGCTATGGGGTCCACTCCTTGGTTTTGTTGGCTTCTTGTAAGTACTTGTGAAAAAGATGCCAACAGCCTTTACCCACCCAGGAGGAAATTTAGCAGAAACTAATGTGGTTCTCTTCCACAGCTAATGTTTGCACACAGGATCCATCAAGATCTGCTCAAGACAAGACTGGTCCATCCATTTAGTGTGTCTGCACAGAGCTCAAAGTCAACTCATGGCCAAGAAACTGGATGTGTGCTACATATGCTGATACCAGCTTCTTCAGGAGAAGTTCCTGCTGGTCACAAGAGGTGATAGTGTATGTGGGGCTTATTCTGAATGTGCTTTATAGAATAAACTTCATAAAATCACAGAATGGTTTAGGTTGGAAAGGGCCTTTGAAGGTCTTGTAGTCCAATCCCCCTGCAGTGAGCAGGGACATTTTCAACGAGATCAAGTTGCTCAAAGTCCCATCCAACCAGGGCTTGAATGTTTAGGGATGAGGCATCTACCTCCTCTCTGGACAATCTACACATCCCATGCAGTATTACAATTTCCTCTTCACCCATTTTATATCTATTATATAGTAATAAATGCACATTGGTCAGTAAGAACATGTAGAGAACTATTATCCTTTATTTCAAATAACTAAAAAAAGACTATTCAGAAAGGATAAATCTGCACTTTAAGGGATGTTTCTCCTCTGTAGCATTTTTTTCCCTGCAGTCTTACTCTCTTCATATTTTTGCTTTTTTTGACAGTTCCTTGTAATTATCTTGTCCACTACTCACTCATTTGAACTATTAATGTTGATAGGACGGATTCACCTATAAAAAACTTCAAAGAAAAGGTTTTGAAAGAGAAGAAATTCTACTGAAAATTGATGATCTGGATTCAGGTTAGTTTAAAAATACTCTTTTAATAACACAGCAGTGCAGGCTGTAACTCAGAGCTGCTCTGTAATGTGGGCTTTGTCTGTCCTCCACAGCAGTTTTCCAGAGGCAGAATTGCTTTGGACATGCTCAAGCACATTTTTCTGTGTTCTGTAAACTTCCTTTGATTCACAGAATTGCATGCTTTAGAATTGTCCCTGGAAAACACTCCAAGCATCTTGGACAATGTTTGAATTAATACTGGACTGGCACCAAAATGCTTAATATCTCTCAGGAATGCTGCTTTTCTTCCTTTTTTTTTTTTTTTTGGCTGCCCTGTCCCTTTCCCACATTCTTGTTCTCTGCTCTGTGCACACTGTCTTGTGCATTCTTCTTCACCTTTTTTCCTTTACCTCATCTTCTCTTTAACCTTTATATAGTCTTACTATTCTGTTTCCAACATCCTATTTTATTCTTAATTTATATCCTTCTGGATCCATCTCATCATTTCTCAGTGCTGTAGGATCAGTGCTGACTTCCTTTCTGCAGGAAAAGGGAAAGTCTCTGGAATAATTTTATAAGTGCAGTCTGCAGCCAGTGACGTGTATTTACACCTTTGCATTCCTCTGACCTTTTCCTGTGATATCTTTGAGCAGTTGCCTCAAAAACCAGAGAGGAAATACCTCCTGACACCCTGCAGGTTCCATTCCTCTATTCTGCACCTTCCATCCATTTTACCACTTTACTGATGCCCATGGTTCAGACATTAATCTCTATGGTGGGTGTAATAACCAAGGGCTTGTGGTGTAGAGACACCTTCTCTTTGGTTTCTAGCTTTTAATGTGGAAAAAAGCTAGAAAAAAAACCCTCCTATAATAGCTTGAATAACCACACCTGTGGATGAGGTGTGACCAGTATGCTGTGTGTGGATAGGGAACCCCTGGATACTCCACCACTCAGAGTTCCCATCTAAAGGGACACAAGATTGTCTCTGCTATTCTCAGCTGAGAGTGTTAGCACTAGTAAATAGCATTTAATACCTCATCGAGTCTGAGTGCCTTTTTACTGGGATCGTAATGAACCAGCACCACCCAGTGCAAAACAGATGTTAGGACACAAAGCCCTGAGAGGGAGAACAACCTCATAGGCTCAGGTCTGTGTGAGCCACTAAACCTCATCTACAACAGTATTTCTGGCAGTGTTATTCCACAGTTTTCAGCTTCACACTCTCTGCCCAACTCCACCCTACCCAAATTGACTCTTAAATCAATCCATTTCTGCACAGCAGTGCACAAAGTCATCCATCAGGATCCTGGAAGGCACAGGGAATGCTTCTTGCTGTAAATGCTGGACATGCCAACTGGGAGCAGCACATTGCTAGATTTACTGCTCACAACCCAATACTGTTCATGTCACTACATAAGTATCAGTGGTAGCCTTGGATATAGTGATAATAATATTGTGGAGTTTAAGGTCCTGCTAAGCACACTGGATACAAATAGTAGGACAAAACTTCTGAATTTCACAAGGGTTGACCTTTCTGAAAGTTCAATATGCTCAGAGCCCGGCTGTGAGAGGGTCAGTGGGAAGCATCCATGCAGAGCAAGAGGAGCTTGTGAGTGCTGGGAATTACTCAGGAACAGTCCATCCCCTACAAAGGGAGAAGGAGAAGGCAGAGCAAGAGACTATTCCTGGCTTAGCAGTGAGTTTTGGGTGTGCTTAAACACAAAAAAATACAAATACTGCCTATAGGATGATGGCCAAATACTCTTCAAGGACTACAAGAACCTTGCTACTCTTTAATCTGACATTGGTTGAGCACTCAGTTAGATTGTACTGGTTTAATGCACATTTGTGTGAAGTTTCAGGTGTGATTGAGAAAATTACTTTTTACAAATCAACAGCACAACAAAACCAAACCAACCCTTTTGCTGTTTCACCATGTTTTGTGGGATAAATACTGTCTGTGCTGTTCCCTTTTTTTTTTTTTTCTATTCCACCTATTCAGTCTTGGGTATGTTATCAATTGCTAATGGCTTTGAGGTGTCAGAGAGGTAGAAGAGGATGAATGTGACAATGTGTTCCAGCTTAGATATGTCAATTTACCTAGTTGGAAAGTAATTAAAGACCTGGAACAGGTTTTCTATCAAGAGTTGACTATGCCCCATGCCTGGCTGTGTTTAGGAGGATTTTGGAGAATGTCCTTCAACAATATGCTTTAATTTTTGGCGAGCCCTAAAGGGATCAGACAGTTGGATTAGATGATTTTTGTAGGTCCTTTCCAACTGGAATAATTTTCTTCTTCCTTTCACATCTTCCCTTGGGGCTGTGGCAGTGTAGTGAAGTGGAGCACACAGGGATAGTTGTCTTTGAGTGACATCAGCTGCATTTGTTTCTTTTGGTTTGGTGTGTTGTGAACAGTGGGAATTAGAGACTATGAAGCAGAACATAAAAGAGTGTTGTAATCTCTATTTCAGAACTCTGCCACCTGTATGGAAGGCACAAACCACTGACATTTCTGCTGTGTGTATTTGTATCTAAAAGAAACAGCAGATGGGTGGTTATGGATTTTCCTTGTGTTGTAGTAGTGATTCTTGACTGGACCTGGCTGAAGAGTTGTCTTAAGTGTACCTCTTTAATTCTGTTTCTCTACCCTTTAAGAATAGCCTAATTACATGCTCCTGGTCTACACACTGTAGTATCTCAGTTGGTGATGCAGTGTAAGTGTCCACACCCTGAGCCACTTGGGAAGGAGGAGGAGAGTCAGAAGGGATTTAGATGGGAGCACAGGCTAACCTCAGCAGAAATTAAGTTGCATTTAAATGCAAAGAGGGAGAAGCTGTGTTCATTTTAACTGCAGAAAGTCTTGAATCCTTTGGTTGAGTTGCTCCCTAGTTAAAAGGTAGGTAGATATTCTTGTGCAGTTGCTTAATTTGAAGCTGATAAATTCTTGTTGAACCGCTATACTCTTGACAAAAGGTAGTTTCCTTCCCCAGACACAACCTACAACAGCCTGTTAACCAGCACCAAATATTGCTGAATGATCAAATTTGGAAATCTACTTATTTTTTTATTTGACAATCATCCACTTTAATATATATACATATTTAAAGTCTGTACATTGTAAAATACAAAATAAAAGTGTTTCTTTATAAGTTACACAATTAAACAGCTACATTTGTCTGTAGTTTAGCTGTCATTTAATTAAAACAAAAAAAAAGAGAGAAGCCTTGCTGAGCCATTGTTATATTCATTCACAAAAAATAACCTTGGTATAAAACATCCATACAGAGTAAGTGTACAAAATAGTGTACAGTTCATATAAGCTGTGCAAAGACAGCAAAGTTCAGTCAAAAATCAAAGAGGCATATCCACTTTTGTCTGTCCACACCATGGATAGCAGAAGCAAAGTGGAAAATAACCACAAGACTATGGGAAAAAAAGTGGGTTAGACAGTGCTTTGAATGCAATATTGATGCATAAATTAAAAGAGAAAACTTAAATATATAAGATCTCTGTTATACAAGGCACACTTGCATTATACCTTAGAAGTCATTCCAGGGATTTCAATGGATCACTTGCACAAGTTTTGCTATTTGGGGTGAGGAGGGAAGCACTGAGGGATCTGTGTCCCTCAATGTCATTTACTTTTGAAGGGTTGCTAGATCAGACAAGTCTTCTGGGTTTTGATATCTTAATAGTAGCTGAAAATTCACTTGAAAGGTAATAAAAATGGCCACAGCATCTATATTGTGTTTTCTGATGTTGTTTATCTGGGGAAAAATTTTCCCTTCCAACAGGTTACCTTTCCTCCCTGCTGTAATGCCAGGAATTGCCTGTTGCCTGTTTTGGGGAAAAGGCAGCTAAAGGAGCAAATATCAATTGTTAAGCAGAGAGAGTTACAAAGAGGTTGGCAGATCCTATGCATATGAAAAACTCCACATGGGACAAAGAATAAAAAATACTTATGAGTAGGAAGTATTGCAGCTATGTGGCAAAGAACCTGCACTGAAGAAGCATGTGGACATTGGGGTAGGACATCACCTCTTCAATTTATAGCACTCTGTTTTATTTACATCTTTGCAGTGTCCCCATGTGATGGTAGGGGCAGGCAAGTGATCTAAGAGACTGTTATCTCCTCCTCTTCCTCTTCCCCTTCATCATCCTCTGAGTCTGAGTCTGAGAAGTCTGAAGGTTTGCTGGGGCTGCTAGAATGGGATGGTGAAGGAGACATCTGGGAGTCCAGTCTGTCCCTCAAGTGTAGATGTTCCTGGGACTGGTGGTAGGTTAAGGGATGCCGGGGGCTGGGTGGACATATGGGGGAAACTTCCTCCTCCTCCTCCTCTCCTGAACATTTCTTGCCTACGTCACTGAGGTCTGGGTGAGGGTTGAACTTGGTAGGGAGGGTCTGTTCTCTGCAGCCACCAGAAGAGAGGAGCTCTCTTTCTTTGGAGTTCCTCCATTTCATCCTCCTGTTTTGGAACCAGATCTTCACCTAGGGGACAAAGCAACACGTAAGTGAAATGGTTCTGTAAAGCAGGGACCAGAAAAGTTGTTTTGGTTGCACCCTAGAAGTCCTGCACATGCCCATACTAAACTAACAGGCACCACAGAAATTGACCTCTGGGGACCCTAGAAGAGGGATCGGGGGCAATAAGACTGTGGTCTGTGGTCCTACTCACCCAGCTGGGAATCATGGCATTTTTGGCTCTGTTGGTGCTCATGGCCCTATAACTTGCTTTGGATGTTCTCCCTGCTCCCATCTCTCAAGCTGCCCCCAGGAGTGGAGATCTTGGCTCCTCATACATCCTCTGCCCTCCCCTCCTGGTGCCCCTCTCACCTGTGAGTCCTTGAGGCCCAACTTGGCTGCCAACTTCTTTCTGTCAGGTTTGCTGATGTACTTCTGCTTCTGGAACATCTTCTCCAGTGCTTTGCGCTGCACGTCGGAGAAGACAGCGCGGCGCAGCATGCCACGCCGGGGCTTACCACGGGCAGCCAGTGGCCAGGAGAAGGTGCCAGGGATGGGCACCACGGCAGAGGCAGCTGTGGAGAGATGCACAGTGCTGAGCGGAGTGAGACCAGTCCCCAACACCCCTTCCTGCCCTTTGGGTGGGCACTTATCAACCTGGGGCCACAAAAAGAGGCTTTAGGCTTAACTAACTGTCTTCCTTTCAGCCAGTGATTGCTGGGATTAGATCTATCAACTCAAATGTGTAAAATGGATCAATAGTGGCTGGTTTTGTTGGGAGATTCAAAGGTCTCTGGCCTGAAAAGGCAAAGTGAGGCGTACTGGCTAAGATAGAGGTATAATAAAAAAGCTTTCCCTCCCACTCAGAAGCATTTGATTTTTTTCAGATGCTTTTATCATTTCAGATGCTTTATTATGCTCGAGATGAAAATGAGGACTTTTCTGATTCTGAACAAAACCTCTCCTCTTCAGATGCAGTTTTGATCAATCAGTATTCATCTTTTTATAATAATCTCTTCTCTCCCCCCCCTCCAAGTTGGAGAATTCAATCCGAAGACATGAAAAGTAACAGCTAATTAGCACATTGCCTGGTTCCCAATGGCATTAGTATGATAAAAAAGGGCAGAGTTTCGCCTTAAAAAAAAAAGGAGGGGGGAACCTCCCCAAGAGAGACAGAGATGCTAATGAAGCGTGAATGGTAATTGTGTAGTAATGAACTAACAGAAAAAGACTGAGGACAAGCAGCTAACGCCATATATTATTGGAACAAAAGAGATTTACACTTTCAAACTAAACACAACGGCATGCCAGGCTCCTCGGGAGAATACTGATGGCACAATCGTCTCTTTCCCCAAATCATTTTCATTAAATGGACATGAAAAGCTATTTATAAAGCTCAAGTTGTTTTTGTTAGGCTATTCACATGCTGGAGAAAGGAAGCAAATTCCATTATCCGGAGGATGAATGGAAGAGCTTGGGTTATTTTTTTTTCCTCTCTCCCTTTCCCTGTTTTCTTTTTAAATTAATAGCTTGTTTGTGTAATTAGATTTCGGGGTGGTTTTTTTCGACTTGTTCTCTCAGCATCATAATGCTTCACTGCTGTAAGAATCATACCCCCGCAGCCTGCTTTCTTGCCCATCCCGTGTTGTTTGACTAGCGCTGCTGGTTTAACCGGGAAGGTGAGGGAGGGAAGGGTTAGTACGCGTAGAGGTGATGGAGGGGAGGGGAGGTACGTGGTGGAGGAGGCAGTGTTACCGTCCCTGCAGTGAACTGGATCCTCCTGTAACCCGACGGGGAGGGATGTTGGAGGGATGAGCAGGGCGGAGGGGACTAGGACTGGGTGGTTCTCTCCGCGGGTGCGGAGCGCAGGCAGCGGGAGCTGACCGCTCCTCGTGGTGCTGAAAGCGGCGCCGGGAGGGAGGGAGGGATGCAGGGAGGGATGCAGGGACTCTCCTGGAGGGGTACCCGCCTCGCCTCGGCACCGTGACAATCCCGGCTAATTTGCGGATCAGCAGGGGGAGCGGGCAGGGAATGTCAGGCAGTCACTGCCTGTGCTAAATCGGGCAGCAAATTGGCGCGACTGATGCTTGAATGTTGTACTCCCTCCAACCTCTGAACTGGAGCATAACCCCGAGTGGGAGGGTGAAGGGAAAACGGGAGAGACGGAGAAATATCACCGGGCTGTGCGTGGAGAGGAGCCCGCCCGGAGAGAGGGAGGATTTAAACACCTACCTGGGAAATAGGAAGATCTGATAAAGGGCTGAAAGGATCCTTCAAAGTACGGAAAGGAGAAAGTCTTTGGCTGGACGCTCTGAAGCAACGCAGGGGAGGTTTCTAGTAAATAAATAAAATGAAATTAAGCGGAGGGTTACCACCGGAAAAAAGGCTGGGACTGTCGCTGGTTCTGGGGACAAACGCGGTGGTACTTTTCCCAAAATGAAAAAGAGCCAGGCTGAGCTCGGAACGAGCGAGGAAAAGCGGCACTTTTCTGCGATGGTTTTGCCAGCAAAGCGGCACCCGTGAGAGCAGGGACAGCCAGGAGACACGGCAGGGAG